CGAGGTTAGCTTTTGTATTTGAGTTCTTTCCAGTTTTTGGATGGATGCTTGTATTGCGATGTATTTCCCCCTCAGGCCTGCTTTTGCTGCATCCCAAAGATTTTGAACGGTTGTATCTTCATTCTCATTAGTTTCCATGAATCTTTTTAATTCTTCCTTAATTTCCTGGTTGACCCTTTCATCTTTTAGCAGGATGGTCCTTAACCTCCACGTGTTTGAAGTCCTTCCAAACTTCTTCTTCTGATTTAGTTCTAATTTCAAGGCATTATGGTCTGAGAATATGCAGGGGACGATCCCAATCTTTTGGTATCGGTTCAGACCCGATTTGTGACCCAGTATGTGGTCTATTCTGGAGAAAGTTCCATGTGCACTTGAGAAGAATGTGTGTTCAGTTTAATTTGGATAAAGTTCTGTAGATATCTGTGAAATCCATCTGGTCCAGTGTATCTTTTAAAGCTCTCATTTCTTTGGAGATGTTGTGCTTAGAAGACCTATCAAGAAAGAGAAAGAGCTAGATTGAAGTCATTAAGTATAATTGTATTATTATCTAAGTATGCCTTAACTTTGGTTATTAATTGATTGATATATTTGGCAACTCCCACATCGGGGCATATATATTGAGGCTTGTTAAGTCCTCTTGTTGGATAGATCCTGTAAGTATGATATAGTGTCCCTCTTCATCTCTCACTCCAGTCTTCGGTGTAAATTTTAGTTTATCTGATATGAGGATGGCTACCCCTGCTTTCTTTTGAGGACTATTTGAATGGCAAATGGTTCTCCAACCTTTTATTTTCAGGCTGTAGGTGTTCTTCTGTCTAAAATGAGTCTCCTGTAGACAGCAAATGGATGGGTCCTGCTTTTTTATCCAGTCTGAATCCCTGCGCCTTTTGGTGGGGTCATTAAGCCCGTTCACGTTCAGAGTTACTATTGACAGATATGTGTTTAGTGTCATCATGATATCTATTCAGTCCTTGTTTTTGTGGATTGTTCCACTGGACTTCTTAAAGGGGAATTTTAAGAGTCCCCCTTAAAATTTCTTGCAGAGCTGGTTTGGAGGTCACCTATTCTTTCAGTTCCTGCCTGTCTTGGAAGCTCTTTTTCTCTCCTTCTATTCTGAATGAGAGCCTTGCTGGATAAAGTGTTCTTGGTTGCATGTTTTTCTTATTTAGGACCCTGAATATATCCTGCCAGCCCTTTCTGGCCTGCCACGTCTCTGTGGAGAGGTCTGCTGTTACCCTAATATTCCTCCCCATAAAAGTCTGGGATTTCTTGTCTCTTGCTGCTTTAAGTATTTTCTCTTTATCTTTGGAATTTGCAAGCTTCACTATTAGACGTCGAGGTGTTGAATGGTTTTTATTGATTTTAGGGGGGATCTCTCTATTTCCTGGATCTGAATGTCTGTTTCCCTTGCCAGATTAGGAAAGTTTTCAGCTAGGATTTGTTCAAATATATATTCTGGACCTCTGTCCCTTTCGACGCCCTCAGGAACCCCAATTAAACATAGGGTTTTCTTCCTGAGGCTGTCATGTATTTCCCTTAATCTATCTTCATGGTCTTTTAATTGTTTGTCTCTTTTTTCCTCAGTTTCCCTCTTTGCCATCAACTTGTCTTCTATGTCACTCACTCGTTCTTCCACCTCGTTAACCCTTGTCGTTAGGACTTCTAGTTTGGATTGCATCTCATTCAATTGATTTTTAATTTCTGCCTGACTGGATCTAAATTCTGGCAGTCATGAAGTCTCTTGAGTCCTTTATGCTTTTTTCTAGAGCCACCAGTAGCTTTATAATAGTGCTTCTGAATTGGCTTTCTGACATTGAAATGTAATCCAAATTTTGTAACTGTATGGGAGAGAGGACTGTTTCTGATTCTTTCTTTTGAGGTGAGGTTTTCCTTCTAGTCATTTTGCTCAGTGCAGAGTGTCCAAAAATAAGTTGTATTGGGAAAAGGAGCAAAAGAGAGGCGAGAAAGAAGGAAAGAAAAGAGAAAAAGAAAAAAAGGTAAAAGGAAGAAAAGAGAAAAAAAGAAAAGAAAAAGAAAGAAAGGATAAAAAAGGTGAGGAAGCAAACAGAAATCAAAAGGAAAAAAACACGGGGGAGTATCTTCTGATTCTGCATACTTTAAGTCCCTTGACTTCCCCTGGAATTTGTCTGTCTAGCTGGTCTTCTGGGGGAGGGGCATGTTGTGGTGATTTTCAGGTGTTAGCACTTTGGGAAGCTGCTCTGCCCCCTGCCTGGTGCAGGGCTCAGTGGGGGTTGTTTACCCTGTGAGGCCCCAGGAGGAACAAACACAGTGGCGGGGCCAGCTCTGGAGCCCTGGATTCAACTCCCGCAGTAACCACGGAGCTCTCTGTTTGCAGGGGCCTGGATGCTCCGGGGCGGGGCCGCTGATCTTCTCAGCTCGGGGCAGGAGCGTCCTTGCTCTCCTGGGCCCTCCCGGCCTCTGCCTGTCCCGGGGCGGGAGGTCGGATCCTGGGCTGTGTGCTCCCGTGCCTGTGCTGTTGGATTCCCGCTCCCGGCCGGGAAGTCCCCTCTCTGCAGAGCCTCCACCCGAGCCCCTCCGAGCTGCTCCCAGGTCCAGCCGTGCGCGCGCTGCAGCCCTTTAGGGAGCTCGGCGCACTCTTCCTGGGGCGCAGGTGCTCTGTTAGTGTCCCAGGGAGCCTGAGGGCATCCCTGCCCTCCTGGGGTCCTGCTCTAACTCCCCGTGAGTGCCTTTCAGCCCGGGGATTTTGGTGCAGCTCCTGCTTCTCCTGGACGGTGCTTTCCTGTCCTGGGGACACTCGCCCCGGCCTTAGCCTGGCTCCTCGCGGGGCCCCTCCCCCTTGGATGCCTTTTGTTTCTTTATTTCGTTTTCCCCGTCTTCCTACCTTGATAGAAGCGTGAACTCTTCTCACTGTAGCATTCCAGCTGTTCTCTCTTTAAATCTCAGGCCGAATTCGTAGATTTTCAGGATGATTTGAAGGTTATCTAGGTAATTTGGTGGGGACAGGTGACTTGGGGACCCTACTCTTCTGCCATCTTGCTCCTCCTCTCTATATTTTTACTTCTATGATAATTCTTTAAAGTGAGAGTTTTCAAGCTTACCTGGTTCATTTCTTGGTTCTATTCATGACAGAAACTATTTCAATTATTGTTACAAATAAAGTTATTCTATCACTATTGCAAATAGAAAAGTTTTTTCCTCACTTTTGTGTCTTCTGATCTGTCTGTATGCATATTTTTAAAGATTTTATTTATTTATTCATGAGAGAGACAGAGAGAGAGGCACAATATATAATTGAATATTGCTCAGCTCCCAAAAAGAATGCAAGTTTGCATTTGCAACAACATGGATGGAACTAGAGTGTATAGAGTAAGTGAAATAAGTCAGCCAGAGAAAGACAAATACCATATTATTTCATTCATATGTGGAAGTTAAGAAGCAAAACAGATTTTATATATATATATATATATATATATATATATATATACCACATCTTCTTTATCCATTCATTAGTCAATGGACATTTGGGCTCTTTCCATAATTTGGCTATTGTTGATAATGCAGTTATAAACTTCAGGGTGCATGTGCTCCTTCAAATCACTATTTTTGTACCCTTTATTTTTTTAAAGATTGTATTTATTTATTCATGAGAGACACAAAGAGAGACATATAGGCAAAGGGAAAAGCAGATTTCCTGTGGTGAGCCTGATGCAAGACTCAATCCCAGGACCTCAGGATCACAACCTGAGCCAAAGGTAGATGCTCAACCACTGAGCCACCCAGGAGTCCCTGTACCCATTAGATAAATACCTGGTACTGCAATTTCTGGGTGATAGGATCTTTATATTTTTAACATTTTGAGAAACCACCATACTGTTCTCCAGAGTGGCTATACTAGTTTGCATTTCCAGCAATAGTGCAAAAGGGTTTCCTTTTCTCTGCATCCTTGTGAACATCTATTGTTTCCTGAATTGCAAATTCTAGCCATTCTGACTGGTGTGAAGTGGTATTTCATTCTGATTTTGATTTGTATTTCCCTGATGAGTGATGTTGAGCACCTTTTCATGTGTCTGTTAGCCATCTGGATATCTTCTTTGGGAAAGTATCTATTCTTGTCTTCTGTCCATTTCTTAACTGGAGTATTTGTTTTTTGGGTGTCAGTTTGTAGATGTGAAAGCCAATTTTAATATGATCTACTTTCAATCTATAAACACAAATTGTCAAAGTTGGAATGTCTTCTACTTCTGCTTTCCCACTGAAAGTTTGGGTGTTAGCTACCAAATCATGAATATATAGATCTAAACTGGTTATCTAATTTCTTACTATCTCCTGAAAACTGTTTTTTTTTCCCAGAATGTGTCAATATGCAGTTGTTTATGTTGATCTGAAAGTTCCTCCCTGTAATTTTTACCTATCCTTATTCCTCTCACCCAAAGAAAGGAAACTTTAACTTCCTTTTTACATGGTAGTCCTCATGTTTAGGCATGTGTCATATCAACCCCTGCCTTTCTCAAGGGACTTTTCTTCTTTAATCCAAACTTCCCAAATCCCTCATATGTCATGATTCTTTGTCTCATTTGAGGTACGGAACTGAACACATGAAACATTGTATAAAACATTTATTACCAACAGAAGGATTACATTTGAAAGCTGTATTGTAATAATGAATAATAATTATATTTTTGTGATCAGTAACAAATACATCTTACCTTTCCTTAAGTATTGAATTAAGTATTTTTAATTATTTTTAAAACTTTATCTATACTGGTATATCTTTTATATATTTTATCAATGGTGACCAGTTGTATAAATACTGTAGATACATTATATAATTCAACTTTTATCTTAATGAAAAAAATGCATAATATTTTTGAGTCAATTGTACTATTATTTTAATTTAATGATTTTACAACAAAGCCTTTAGTTAACATACCTTTGATGATTGGCTTTAATAATTTCTTCTTCTTCTTCTTCCTCTTCTCTTTCTCTCCTTCCCCCCTTCCCCCGTTTCTCTTTGACAGTTTTCTGTGGGTTGATACGGAGAATCATCACAATTGTGCCTGGTATGGACTTGTTGTCTGGAACATATATATTTGCAGTTCTTCTAGCATGTGTCGTGTTTCAGTCTGGCGCCCAGGAGAAAAACTACACAGTCCGAGAAGAAATGCCAGAAAATGTTCTTATAGGCGACTTGATGAAAGACCTCAACTTGTCACTGATCCCAGACAAGTCCTTAACATCTTCCATGCAGTTTAAGCTAGTGTATAAGACAGGAGATGTGCCACTGATTCGAATTGAAGAAAGTACTGGTGAGATCTTCACTGCTGGATCTCGCATTGATTGTGAGAAATTATGTGCTGGTATCTTGGTGGAAACCCGTTGCTTTTATGAAGTGGAGGTTGCCGTTTTGCCAGATGAAATATTTAGACTTATTAAGGTACGTTTTCTGATAGAAGACATAAATGATAATGCACCATTATTTCCAGCAACAGTTATCAACATATCAATTCCGGAGAACTCAGCTATAAACTCTCGATATGCTCTCCCAGCAGCCATTGATCCTGATACAGGAATAAATGGAGTTCAAAACTACAAACTAATTAAGGTGCGTTTTAAAATCACTTTAAGATAAGTCCTTTTTAAAAGGCAAAGATATAAAAGCATCTTTGTGTACTCAAATTTTGAGTAAGCCATTACCCCAATTTTGAAAAGTTTAGACATCGTGAAGGAAAGTAATCATTGCAATTCTTGTAATTGCAGGGAGTTTATGATTTTTTATTTTATGTATATTTATTTCCAAGCAGCTGCTTATGTTTCCCTTAACAATCTATTATAGGGGTCAGATAAGGAGCTCAGCCCTGCCACTTACAAACAATAACCTACCCAATACCTTACTTTTAATTTGTCTAGTCATGACTCTGCCACAGAGTGGACCTAAACAAGTAAAATGTAAAGATTAAGAATGAATATACATATCTATCAGTTTACTCAGTGATCATTTTAGATAGGAAGTTTTCTCTCGCCATTTGAAAAGATGTCAAATAAATTTATTTGAGGGGTGAATAGAGCATTTTTATTATTAATATTTCTACATATATAGAGAATAATATTTTTCATGGTGGTTTCAAGTCAAGGGAAGATCTTTAAGCATCTCTTGAGTCATCAGAATGAGGTTAAATTTTAGCCAATGTGCTGCTAATGTTAAATATTTTCATTTTTTTCTAATTCTTTGAAAACACAGAACACTCATTTGTTATAAAGGGTGAGTTCTTCACCCAAAAAGTTTCAATTTATCTGAAGAGCCTCTTCTGGCCTGACTTGGGTCTTAGGGTAGGGGAGGTAGAAGGAAAAATAGGTGGAATAATTGTATTTGAAATATGTGCAGAGGGATCTTGTTCATCAAGCAAATGGGTAATTCTTTTTAATAACCTATATAGTATATAGGGTAGTAGGAAACTCAGATTTGTATATGTGAAATAGTTCAATCAATGTACTTGAATGAGCCTGATAAGTGTGTAAAAGAACAAATGTGCAAACAATATAGATGGGTTAAGGAATTTTTAAATTTTTGTAAACATTTTCTGACTATTCACTACCAGATTATGATGAACATAATGGCAATGTTACAAAATATTCTAAGAACACATAAGTATTTTGATGTTTATCATCTGAAGGTTTTGGCTGGACGATGTATAATATTGGAAAACTGCTCACCTGATGCTGATATATTGTAAAGATATATTTGTTTATAAATACATTCAGGGATAGAAGACTATAGATCTCTTGAAAGAATTCAGGTGAAATGCACACTAGTATTTGAGTATAAGAAGTAAAAACAGAAATAGAAAGGATAGAAGATTTAGAAATTAGCATTTTTAGGTAAGACCTCTGCTATGGTATTTCCTTATATGATGAAATGAGAAAATATACAGGAGTCAGAAAGATATGGATTATAATTTTGTGCTTACCACTGACTAGATATGTCACCTGCAGCTTAATTTTTCTGACCTTTAGTTTCTTCAACCATAATATGAGGATGATGATGTATATGTCATATAGGCAGAATTGGGAGAATAAGCACACAGTAGAAAGTAGATAGACATGCAGATAATTTTTGGAGATACTCTAAAACATTTGACTGTTATAGAAATGTGAGATTTATCACTTTAAATTGTAAGTTGTATAGCAGAGTAGATACTATCTCTAAAACAACACTGTCCAATGGAACTTTCTGCAGTGACATAAATCCTATAATCTGTGATAGCCAATATGGTAGCTATTGGCAATATGTGGCTATTGAGTACTTAGGATGGGGTTAATGGTACCAAGGAATTGAATTTTTAAATTCTATTTAGTCTTAATTTTAGTAGCCACAAGTGGTTAATGGCTACCATATTACAGAGTCAAAATGAAGTAAGGTCATTTGGAAAATAAAAAATAACAGATAAAATAAAAATGTGACCTTATCAAATTTAAATCAGGTATTAGTAATAGGGTCTCTCCACCAACCATCAAGACAAATGTGTTGTTTTGCAGTGCAATGCTTTATTATTTAAAGAAATTGTTTCCAAGAATATTTTTTTCATATCTCCCTCAGGATAGCATAACAAATTTATGATATATTTCTGATTTGTCTTGAAAACTGCTTAAGAAATTTAAATAAAACAAACCTATTGGCATTATTTTAGCTTTGTTAAAATCTGTTTTCATTTGAATTTATTTGAAATATTATCAGTAAATAATAAAAATACAGGCTCACTAGAGGTTATTAGATGAGTCTTAGAATAAACATACTCTAAAATTTCATTCCGCTGTAGAATGTGTGATAAGGCAAAAGTGAACTACATGATGTACTTAGAATATTGAGGCATTTGTATGTTTCCATGGACAAATAACACTCTTAATTGCTTGTTAAAAATAATGAGCATGACAACAAAAAATAATGAGCATGGAACATAAAATATAGCTCCAGGGCTATGACATGGATGACATTAACTCAATATACTTTGACTTACAAAAAGGTCTCGTCATGAAAGTGGCATTTATGCTGAAAGGATAGGGAGACTAAATAAAAAGAAAAAAAAAGAAACATGTTATGATTTATCCATAAACTTTAGTGTGTTATAATTTGAAAGTTAAGTAAACCAACCTAAAAAATAAACTCTGTCCTGCAGAATAGGATGAAAATTTAATTAATATTAATTTTTCCTATTTCAGTTGAATAGACTAGACTAGCAAAATCACAGATTACCCCAAATAGGGATATATAAAATATGTATGTAACGTTCAGATAGCAAAGGGAGAGAGAGAAGGGAAAGATATAGGGAAAATTTTTAGGGAAAAGTAGGTCAATTTACACATGAAGGCAATATAGAATTGCTACTGATAATTCTATATTAATTGATTGAAAATAAAGGCATTGGTGGAAAAGACTTATTAAATGTATCAAAAATGTATATAAGTAACATAGAACTTAGAATATTTATTTTCAAAAATTAATATATAAATATTTAATCTTGATTTTTAAATTTTGAATATTACATATGCTTTGGTATAAACAAGGAAAGCATTATTATTCCACCTTTTGAATTCTTTGAAAATGCATTTCAGAGTAATAATGTATTTTGCTTATGATTATATGACAAGTTAGTGATAAAGCTGCAGACCAGAATAAGGTCTTCTCTTAGATTTAATTGAAAGACAGATTGGTAACCTTGAAGAGGGGGATCACAACAAGTTCATGATCTAAGAAGAAAGAAGAAGAAAAAAGAGAAAAGGAAAAAAAAGGAGAAAGTGAGAAATGAAAGAATGTAGTGATTACCAAATGATTCTGCTTAGTACAAAGAAAATTATGTTAAAATAAACTTCAAGTACCCAATCTGATTCAGGACAAGGATAAAAACCTCAAAGACCTACTTCTTCCTATGGCTGGGACTCAGGGTAAATTCATTTGTGTAATGATACTACATATGTCTTCATTTTCTGCTTCAGGATTTCATCTTCCCTCATATATATCAATAATATTTATATACTAGTCCAGTGACATGTGTTGATTGGTTCCCTTGAGGCAGGCATAACAGTGTTTCAAAGGTTGTCAATTTGTGCTGACAGAGCATAATGATCAAATTTTTCTCAGATTAGTGATCCTACTTGAAGCCTTCACCTGTATTGCCCATTCCATAAAGCATCATTATCTTTTCAACGACCATAAAAGAAAATTTAATCTTGGGCAGTCTTTTCACATAATCAAGACTTGGGCACTTATTTCTATTTTATTTAAAACCAGTTATAAAAATTTGGCCTTTATGTTTAAAGCTAAATGAGAACTAAATATCTTTCCTATTTAAAAAAATATTTTTATTTATTTATTCATGAGAGACACAGAAAGACAGGCAGAGACACAGGCAGAGGGAGAAGCAGGCTCCATGTAAGGAGCCTGATGTGGGACTTAAACCCAGGACTCAAGGATCATACCCTGGGCCATAGGCAGGTCCTCAACTGCTGAGCCACTCAGGCGTCCCAATATCTTTCCTCTTGATCAAGAGTTCAGAATTATGTAACTAAGATTAGAGTTAGCTTTGTCTTGAAGTCTGGGACTAGAAAATCCAAATTGGGGGGGCAAGATGACATAAGAGTAAGGTCTCCAATTCACATGTCCCCACAAATTACCTAGATAACTTTCAAATCAACCTGAAAACTGACAAATTCGACTTGAGATTTAAAGAGAGAACAGCTGGAATGCTACAGTGAGAAGAGCTCGCGCTTCTATCAAGGTAGGAAGATGGGGAAAAAAAGAAATAAAGAAACAAAAGGCATCCAAGGGGGAGGGGCCACGCAAAGAGCCAGGCTAAGGACGCGTGGCAAGTGTCCCCAGGACAGGAAAGCCCCGTCCTAGAGAAGCAGGAGATTCAACAATCTTCCCCTATGGAGAAGCACTCGCAGGCAGTTGGAGCAGGATCCCAGGAGGGGCGGGGATGCCTTCAGGCCTGGGACACTAACACAGGACCTGCCTCCCAGGGAGAGTGGGCCACACCCCGCGGCCAGGCTCCCTAAAGGGCTGCAGCGGGGGCACGGCTAGACCCGGGAGCAGATCGGAGGTGGCTCCAGCAGAGGCTCCAAGTGGAGGCTCTGTGGTGAGGGAGCTTCCCAACAGGGAGTGGGATTCCAATAGCGCAGGCCCAGGAGCACAGGACGCCGGGGACACAGCCTAAGATCTGGCGCTCCCCTGGGGCAGGCAGAAGCCAGGAGGGACAGCAAGGACGCTCCTGCTGCTGGGCGGCCCCAAGCTGTGTAGATGAGTGCCCCCTCCCCCGGGGCATCCAGTCCCCTGCAGACTGAGAGATCCAGTAGTTACTGCAGGAGCTGACTCCAGGGCTGGAGAGCTGGCCTCCACTGTTGTTGTTCCTCCTGGGGCCTCACAGGATAAACAACCCCCAATGAACTTCACAGTTGCTTCAGAGGATGAACAGGTTACACAACTTTCACTGAGCCATGCACCAGGCAGAGGGCGAGGAGCTCCCCCAAGTGCTCACACCTGAGAATCAGCACAGCAGTCCCTTCCTTGAGAAGACCAGCTAGACTGACAGGGGAAAAACAAATTATTGA